ATTTGAATGAAGCACCTTTATCAAGGGTAAAACAACAGTGTTTAACCCATGATTCAAACTCATGACTCATCAGTCCAGAGTTAAGATCCCAGAACACTAACCACTATGGCGCACTGAATACAATCCATTTGTTTTGGGGAACACTTGGGTGAAAATCTTTCATGCCTTTTCCTCAGAAGATGCTTTTACTGTTTCTGGGATTTTCTTCTGCCTGTTTCCAGACAGTCTAAGCACACCACCTGGCTAACAGCATACTGGAAGAGGATTATCTTGGCCACCGCCATAGCAACCCCACCCCCTTCTGCTGCGTTAAAATTGTCATGACATAAACGTGCAGTACTTAAACATCAAGATAGCATGCTGTTGAAACCTACGTCAACTTATATGAATTTATTCTACATTAATGCATGCTAGTCAGTAAAGCAATTTACTGGAGTACTCTAATACCTAAGTTTTATTTTTTATTCAAAGGACAAGTCCTTCTTTTCAACTTGAAAACACATACAGTATTTTGTTGTTTGAAGTGTTAGTGGAAAAAAAATGGATGGTTATTTTTTATTTTATTTGCTTGTGGTGCTCTTTTGAAATCCCTTCAGTGATTTTTCAAGTTGATTTGATTTTCCCCATTGCTCTGTGTTTTTAGAGGAGGAAAAATAGTTAAGGTATTCTGGTAGAAATTCCAAATCATGACATCTATCTATGAAAAATATCACCCTAGGGAGCCGTTACTGTGCACGTTACAGCTTACTTTTCACAAACCCTTCAAATTCACATCCTTTAGTTTGGGATAAAATGAAAGAAAATAATTCTCACTGTGCAAAAAGATTCAATTTCCAATTTTCTAAACAAGCAGTTGATAAGTGGTAAAGACCCATAATGAAGAAATTGAAGAAAACATAAGAAGTGCAATTACAGACGCACTACAGTATATTGCTCATAGCTTGAAATCTGTGTACAGTAAGAAATATTGGAAGCAAAGCTTTTACTTTCCCTACTGCATCCAGTAATTGCAGAGAGTGAGAGAGATCACAGTCCTAATTTTGTTTTGAACAGACAGGAAAGATGGAAGCAAAATATATCTCAAAGAGTATTCAGGCTCAGGAACTAAAGCTAAAGGAATCGAGAGACTTAGAATCAAATCAAAAATTTAAAACCTCTGTTTGATTTGAAGGTACGAAACGCAGTTTAAGCGAAGTGTAATATAGGATAGACAGGGAGACAGATTCTTCTTGAAGCACAGAACAGATACTGAATATCCAAAGTCTGAGTGAATCAAAAGCTAAGAAACAGCATCCCAAACAGTTATGAGATGATATAAATCACTTTATAAAGGTTTAAAAAACACAGGATCCAGATAAGTAAAAGGAGTGCAATGAATTGCAAGCGCAAGCAAAAACGGATATTAGAAAAGCCGGGAGAGATGGAAAGGAATATAGCAATGAAGGCTTAAATAAATAATTTGAGTTGGGGAGCTGTGTCAGCGTGTATTGGCTGCAAACGAACAAGTAAAGGGTAATTCCACACTGAAAAGTAGAGGGAAAAAACATTTCAGCTGTTGATCCCCTTCAGGTGTTGAACTTTCTCCAGGTATTGAGCCTTCTTAAGAGTTTCTTTCTTCTTCCTAATTATGAACAATGCATCTGTAGTCTTCACAAAGTATACTGTATGTGAAGTCTTTCCTTCACATTTTGCATGGAATTGATAAATATTAACATACATTTTCATTTTGTTTAAAACCTTATCTTTTTGACGAGATATATAAAGAGAAACACAATTTATGCGTACTTTCTGTTTTACGGGGAATTAGTTTTTAATTTGTATGTTTTTTTAATTATGTAGCAATTTTTGAGAATGCATCCCCCTTTTAAATTGTGAAATACAGTACCTGTATTCAAAATCCTTGAAGGCAATGACAGAGTCAACCCAATTAACTTCTTCTGAATAAAGGAACAAATAAAAGTTTATCCCATGCTGAGAAGAGAAGAAAAGAAACACAGCGTTTGGACTGTGGACCCTTCTTCGGCTGTGAGAAAGGCAGGGAAGTCAGCAGAGATTACATATCATAGGAGAACAAAAGCTGGGACTGTAGAAGAGGTGGGAGCAGGGGGGAGGCAGAGTGGACACTCAGGTGGAGTGAATTCTAGAGAGGTGAAGAGAGGTGTGAGACCGAAACCTGCAAATGAATAGAGAGGATTAGAAGAAAACGAGTCTGTCGTTGAGAGAATGGGGAAGGTATGAACCCATTTTCAGTATAATTCTCTGAGTCTTCTTCCTGTTTCCCCAATAAAACAGGATTAAACCTTTACTTGTTCCTTTGCAGCCTATGCATATTGACGCAGCTACCTACTTGAGCTACTCATGCCATGGAAATGATTGACACTTGTCTCATAAAAAGTAGGAAGAAACACATTACTGACCAATCAAAAATCCATACAGGCATTAAAGAGTAGAGTAAATAAAAGCTCAGTCCCCAGCTCAGAAAATTAAAATGGAAACATGAAGACTGAGATTTAAGCATTCTTCTAATCAAAAATATTGGCATAGCATACATAGCACCCATCCTGGTGCTTATTGAATGAAAAAGCATTCAGTGTGAGGATCAATTCTGCAAGACGGAAGGCCCCTCAGGACAATTTCAGATCACTCAGATGACATCTTGTACCTCCAGCAACCTTATTTACTGCATCTCTTGCAGAAAATGCCCAGACATCTACATTGGGGAAACAGGAAGGAGACTCGGAGACCGCTTCAGAGAACATTAGGATCAAAGATTTCTCCACGCCCATAGTCTCTCATTTCACCTCAGATGGCCATGATCACACTGATCTCTCCGTCTGCGTTCTCAAAGAAGGGTTTCTTGACTGTTGTAGAAAGACATCCAAAACCAAAATTATCCAGAAACTAGGATCACACCTTCCTTCTTCTCTCAACAACAGACTCGTTTCCTCCTAATCCTCTCTATTCATTTCCAGATTTCGACTTTACACCTCTCTTCACCTCTCGCGACTTCGCACCACCTAAGCAGCCTCTCTGCCTCTCCCCTGCTCCCGCCTCCTCCACTCTCCCAGCTTTTGTTCTCCTATGCTGTTCAATGTTTGCTGTCTGAACTGTCTTTCTCACACCCGAAGAAGGCTCCACAGCCGAAACGTGGTGTTTCTTTTCTTTGCTTTTTCCTTTACTTGTTCCTTTGCAGCCTATGCATGCTGACACAGCCATCTACTTGAACTTCTTCTGAATAAATACTGAAATATTCCCGAGAGGTCGCAAGAGACATCTAAGTGGAAATGCATTTAAAACTAAGATCAGGAGGGACTTCTTCATGCTCTTTAGGTCTGTGGGAGTATGGAACAAGTTACTCAGCTGTAGTCCTGAAGCTGATACCCTGGCTTTTTTTAAGGAAACAGTTGGATGAGTTCTTCTAATCAATTAGCTACAAACTACCAAACAGACTTGATGTGCCAAATTGCCTCCTTTCATGTTCTGTTTTTGTCTGTGATCTCTCAGTGCAGTGTAGTCTGTTGCAGCATATTATTATAATATCTGCATTCTTGGCAAGGGGATTTTTTTGTGTTCTTCCTGGGTTGTTCAATGTGTGAGAAATTGTCTCTGAAGGCAGAGATTAGAAATAACCTAGGATTATGATTTTACTGTACCTGACAGAGGTATGCAGTAGTTAAAAGCAATGATAGTTAGCAATGACAAACATGCTAGAGTATCCTATACTTGGGGTGGGGAGATACTTAGTGCTGTGTGTATCCTTTTTTTCAGACGTTATACCTAATTAGTAAAAGGTTCTGACCTTTAAGACGTTGCAGAATTTTGAGATCTACGATCTATTTCATCTTTGTGGTAATATAAAGGAAAGAAAGCCCAGGCAATCCTTTTTCCCCTTTCACTGTCTTCTCAAACTAAAAAGGAACGTATTTGTAAACATCACTATTGGATTCTGTATAACTCTCAATTGATATGACTTGCTCCTGAATGTGTTTCCTGTCAGGTGGCATGTCCTGCTTGATATATTAGTAGATCTGTTTACTGTACATAGCTGACATGTCTTACAATCTGGTGTATTCACATTCTGAAAAACAATTTTTGCTAAATTATTGTGCATTGCATTAATCAAATATTCTAATCTCTCTCATGCAGTTATCCTTTAATTAATAAATTATTAAGTATTATTAAGTACTATATTAAAGATTTGTGTATATATGCTCTTATTTTTAATTCGATTGTGAAAAAAGTGAATCAAAATTACAGATCTGGTTTCACTTTAGCATCTCTAAAGGTGAGAAGGAGCAGATGTGCTCATCTGTCTGAATTGCTGGTTTGCAGTTCATCCTGGTGACTGGTAGCTTGCTTAGTCATACAAGCTTTTTAAGTTGTAAACTCAATATACCTGTAGCACCTAATTGTTTTCATTTAAGTCAGCGTCATTGCAAATGAACAAAACCAAACGCGCTTGAATATATGGCTTCAAGCTGAGCTATATTGTAGTATGCACAATTTGACATTATGTTTTAATGCCAAAATGTAATAGCTAGAGAACTGAAATGATTAACAATTTGCTTTTGAATAGTAGAAAGTGCAAGTTGCACTTTTAAGAATCCATACTGAGAACATTGTACGCTATGGGTTAAATTGTTAGTAAGCAGCCCAGATGATTGCTTCAGTTGCTCAAATGTTTTTTTCTGTTGTTTGGAATGAGTCATTGAATGCGAGACTTGCTGTTTTTGGTATCATGCCATGAAGGGTAAAGCAAACATTTACAGCGCAAGATGCATTCCAATGCACTACTGTAGCATAACACAGTTGTGTTCATTTCTCCCATTAGGTCCAATGCCAATCAATTGGCCTTTTAAGGTCTTTTCATAGGGGATAAAGTGTGACTTAAAAGAGCTATGAAGACTTAAGATAAGAAAAGTATAGCAAGATGTTTGTGCTCTTGCATTTTTCATTTAGTTCACAATACTGTATAACATTCCTTTAACTTTTTTTTACAGGAACCATGACCACTGCAACATCACCTATCCTCCTGAAATGGGATCCTAAGAGCCTTGAAATTAGAACTCTGACGGTGGAGAGACTACTGGAGCCTTTAGTCACACAGGTAGGAAAATACACCACGATTTGTATTACCATTGGACTTTAAAATACTTCCTAATGGAGTTGCTCGTGAGGACATTAAATCCTAATCTCACACACTTCTCCTTGCTTACATATATACTGTAAGTCTTTCATCCTTTTCTTCTCGTACAGTATCTCACTTGCATTCCCATGTACTCCCTCGCTTACAATAGCAAGTTTGGACAGCTTGTCCTCTCAGATAGGCTGTCATCCCCTAAGCTAGGTGAGTCACACCTCATACTTCATACATGTTTCGTCGCTATGCTGCATTCAGTAGAATCTAGCAAAACTATTGAGATGTCTTTTTTTCTCCAGTCAAACATCAAAGACTGGATTTCTGCTTTAATGATACTTAAAATGAAGGAACGTATTGTATAGCAGAGTACTTCAGAACAAACCAGGTTGCCTTGTGTCACATGGCGTGCATGACGACTGCCTCTCGTTTGAAAAGCTGTGTCAAGAAAGACAAGCCATGTATTCAAAATGTCACTCCTTTCAATAAATCTTTGCGCTAGTTTCCAGTAATAAGCGTGGTTTATTTAACAGTGTAATTCCTTGCTGTGTTTACCTGCTGTATGTATTATCTTATGTAGTAAGCAATTTATTCCTGGATTTTCAGAGAGATTCAGAAGGTGTGTAGTGCATGCAAGAATCATGTGCATGCATAATGCACAAACTGCAATGATAGCAACAGTGTTTGATTGTATTTTAAGGTTACAAACCAAATGTTGGGTTTAATAAGATAAGATAAACTTTATGGTTCCCTAGGGGAAAATTTCTATGGACATACGTTGCGTCCATAATCTGAATACAACACAAAATATTACACATCACATCTTCTGCACAAGCATAACTCATTACAAAACAGTCAGGATGTATTACACATACTATACATGGGTTGTTACAGCATAAACAGCTATGTTGACCAAATTGTATTTACCTTTGACATTTATTCATATTAACTGCTAATAGATAACGGAACAAACAAAAAATTGTATCTTTTTAATCTATATTTGGGAACCCTAACAAGAAGTTGATATTCGGAATTAAGAATATGAAAATGATCTGATATATTTTTTCCTGCCTGTCCAAACATGTTCAAGAGTTGTCTGCAAGGAGGAGAGCTGCTTCTCCCATAACCTTCACTGCTGTTTGGCTAAGAGGGGTGACTTTTGACCATTAAATGACCAAACTGCACTGTTTTACCAGATCTAATAATACAGTTACAATTACAGCATAGCAAACGAGGAGCATTATTAACTGTCCAACGCCAAACACTCTTCATTTGTGTAACAAATACAAACGCTGAGGGTCTCTAAATCAGTGTTACCAAATGAAATTAGTAAATTAGTTGGATAAAGTTTAGGTAAAGAAATGATTTGTTTTAGTTGGGAATGCAGCTTTATAAAGGATTAACCAGGCTTTAATCCAGTTCAAGACAGATTCTGTTTTAACCACACGGTACTCATAATTCTGTTCTACATATGTTTGTGATTATTATTATCACATTCTGTAACAGGGATGTGGGTAGCCTCTAAATAAACTTTCTGACAGTCTTCACTCTCTTCCCATATTGTAAATAGTGTTACCCCCTCTCCTCACCCTCAGAGATGGAGTTTAAATCTAGGATACGGCAGCCAACTGCATGGTTTGTCAAAGGATTTGTGGCTTCATTCCTCCTTAGAGGTCTTCCCAGCACAGACTTCCCGGCTGTAGAGTGAATCAGAGGCTTCTCTTTGGCAGCCATGAGAACTGCAGTGGAGGCGTGGCAAGGATTTGTGTTACACACAAGGACGGGCTCTGTGCTGGGAGGCCCGCTGTCTCTGAGCAAGTAGATTTTGACCATGGACAGCTCCTGTTTCTCTTGGAGTGGAATCCGACTCCTTTTACTGCTCTGGACCTACATTATAATGCTGAACAGCAAATGCAAGTGCAACTGCATTGCAAAATATTCTTTGAGCACTTATTTAGCCCTTCATGTTAGGAGCAAATTCACCACTTCATACATAAAATCTATTTTTAAATAGATATTTTTTTGTTTTTCAATGTAATTAACACACTCAATTTTTTAATATGCCCTTTAAATACTGCATCAATTAAGTATGAATCATCAGTGCTTTGAAAATGAGTTAAAGTTCATTATTTGTTAAATGTCATTGTGAAAGGTTTTTAATTATACATTTAAGAAATGTCTAACTACAATTAATATATTATAACTGTTTTTATATAAGTGTGTTTTATACAATTTCGTTTTTGGCTTCAGAGTTTTTGTGGTTAACAATGTTATGCTGTAATCTTTTTTTGAGCAAAGTTATTGTGGCCTTTTCTTTGTGCTTTTAATCCATATGATACTGTCTTCTATTTTAACATTTTATGCTGCTTTTAAAATCCTAGTTTTATTTTTATGTTTTTGTAATTGACAATGTATGACAGAATATTGTAGATATTAGAATTAGATTTTGAATCAAAAAGGAAATGTGTTATGAATTTTTTATTTCAATACAGAATTATTGTTTTATTATAATTTAAAATGTTATTGATTACAATAATGATAAAAATACATTTCACAGAAATTAAATTTTATACACATTTTGCTACTAAACCAACTTATTTTCAATCTTTCTTATGTCTTTTGTGTTCTTAAAATTCCTCCCCCGCAATTTGTAACATACTGATCTAAAGTACAGTTTTAAACTAGTAAGAACAATATGCTGCTGGGAAATACATTTTGTTTTTGCAGAACAATTTTTTAGAACAGAGCAAACCTTAAATACAGAAGATCAGAATTTTACTAAATGTGTGCTAGAAAAACGATAAAAAGGACTGATTTTTAACCATTCGTTATCCTCTTTTTCCTGGTTTGGGTTGCAACAGAATCTTGGGGACCTTGGAAATATGGAGCATAACTCCTGGCCACACCCTGGACGCCAGCCCTTTGCAGGGCAGTACAGTATATACACACCTCACTCATGGAAAATATACCACACCTTTGTGTCTTTGGAAGGCGAGATGAAATTAGAGCCTCAGGAGAAAACTGGTGCAAACATTCCAACTCCACCCCTTGGATCCAAGAGCAGCTTAAACAGATGCCATGCCTTAAACAGATTTTATAAATGGAAAATTTGTCTATCCAGACAGACATTGTGCACTGGCACAATGAAGTTCAAGCACACATTAGTTTCAATTTAATCTACAAAGATGCTCCCAAGTCAAAAGGTATTTTACCTCCACCCAACTCAGCAAAATTGATTTTTTGGCGGCCATTAGATCCTCAAATAACCTACTTAGACTGGAGTACAGTGTATATGGGCTTTACATAATGAGCAAGCCCTGCATGCACTGAGGCTCAGAGTGATGGAGTATTACTTCAGTATTGATTGTTATGCTGTCTCATCGTACTGTCAATGTTTGTGTTTTCATAGCACAGTAACTTTGTTTTACTAATTTGGCAGAGGAGTGATAACTGAGCTGCTGCCAGTGACTTTGCCATACACACTGGTTGCTTTGCATTTGTTGACATGCAGGCAGATTGCTGTGTCAGCCTCTTTCAGGTGATTGTTAGCTTCAGGTGTCACAGTCCTTCAGCAGTCATTTCTGAGCAGATGCTGTTTTCTTAGCAAATGTCCAGGTTGACAGCGGTCCCTTTCATAGCATACATACAGATGTGATACTGTATTTTCTGACAGCTTCCTGTTCTGACATGTTAGTCTGCTGCTGGCTGTACAGGATCCTGTCAATGACAAACAGTAGTGATCTTGCTTACAGCCTTGCACTTTTTACTGCTCTGATTTTAGGACATGACAACTTTGTTTAAATCAGGTTGGAAAACACAGATGCTGGAAAAGATGAAGTATTCAGAGTTTCTATTGTTCTGCTTATCTCTCTCTAGCTATTTATAATAATAATAATAATAATAATAATAATAATAATAATAATAATAATAATAATAACTTACATTTATATAGCGCTTTTCTGGACACTCCAGTCAAAGCGATTTACAGGTAATGGGGACTCCCCTCCACCATCACCAGTGTGCAGCCCCACCTGGATAATGCAACGGCAGCCATAGTGCGCCAGAACGGTCACCACACACCAGCTATCAGTGGGGAGGAGAGCAGAGTGATGAAGCCAATTCATATTGGTCTTGTTCCATTTCCTTTGAAATACTATATACAAGTCAGTATCTGAGAGCAAACAAATATAAATTAACATTATATATATATATTTTAAAATTTATTTTAACCCTACACTATACAGTCGGTTTATTTTTCATTTTTCTATCTAGTTGTAACGAAGGGCTACAAAGGGAACAGTTAAATGATCCTTCCAAACTGAAAAGTAAAAAAAAACGTTTAAAAACGCACACTGTTTTAGCTGTGTAGCCTTCGCTTGAAGAAAAAAGTGAAATGTTGTTTGTTTTCTTTTTTCAGCCTTTTTTTGCAGAACCTGAGAACCAGACCCATTAGTGTTTTTGTTAGGTGTTTTTACGCGTTTTTTTAAGTAAACTATACACTGTATTTTAATGTAAATGAATCTAAAAATTATTAAGATTCTTTGGTCATGTCCTTAAAAATGGTTGATGATGTTTCATAATAATTGATGGCATGGAACAAAAGCGCAGTTAAAAATGAAAGATTTATTCCCTTCATTTGGGTAGTGGTGTAGAATAGACAGAAGGTGGGAGGCATTTAACTAATGCAAGACTGGTATTACAACACATAAAATAATGTTTGATTTCAAGTATACTGCATTTTAGTGTACAGGGTAATGGGAAAAGCAAACTAGCTTGCTTGCGAGTTGTGACAGCTGTCAGTAAGACTGTCAGCATATTTTGATCTGTTTCTCTTTATTTTAAAGGAAATAAAATCAGGGCAAAAAGAAAGCTAGCCAGAAAAGCCTTAAGGCTTATAAATCATGAGTGAGTACCAAAGCACTCCTCCACTGAGGCACATCATGTAATTACAACAGAGATGAGCACACACG